TCATTTGCCTTTACTAATAGAGTGCAGTCTTTCATAGATCCTAGCTAATCCTGGGGTATTTATGAGACTCACCTCCTTCCTGGAGGACTCCAGTTCCAATTTTTGTCTTTGTAGCGTTGTGAGACTACAGAGAACTCTGCTCAGTGTCGTAAACTCAGGAACCTAAGAACTGCAAAATGCCTGAAGGGAAGTGTTGAGGGGAATGCCAAGCTCACCTCTGTGTACTTCCTTTCTCTCTGGGATCCTGGACCTTCCAGTCCTTGTTGCCTTAGCTATTCTCAAATTACTTCTAATAGATTTTGTGTATTTTTTTCTCTAGCTCATTAAGATATCACCAGTGGAGAACTGGTTGATACAAGGTAGTCCACTATAGTTCAAGGTATTCCTTGCTTGATACCCAAAATGCCCCCATCTTACCCTACTCTATATTCCCTTTCCCTTATGCATTGTTCCACTTACTGTTCAGTGTCATTTTCTTCACAATTCTGCTGTTTAATCTCACATCCCCAAAACCTCATACAAAGCCTGAAACATGAACAACTCTAAATACTGGTGGAATGAAGGGGCAAATCCTACTGAACCCTCTCTGACTCCCTTTACTGCAACATCTATTCACCTACAAGCGAACTATCTATCTATCATTACTGAAATCTCACTCTCCATTTAATGACCTAGTTAGCTTGCATACATTTTAGGGATATTTCTCACCTACTCCACATATTTCCCACATAAGAGGGAAAACTACTAATTCACCAAAGATGGTTTTAAAACTATTGCTTTCCCACTTATACTTCCTTTGAGTTTTATATTACTCAGCTATCGCCTTCTATTCTTACTCATCATTGATAACTAAAAACTTTATGGTATCTAACAATCACACATTAAAACTGTGTGACACAGCTGTTCACCAAACCCGTTTCCCTTTCCTCTGGGTCATATATCTAGACTATTGTCCTAGCCTCTCTTACGCTGAAACATAACCGTGTGGCTGAGTTCTGGCCAATGGAGGTCCAAGGATGTGATGTCATCATTTCCAGGCCTAGCCCCATAAATGCTCCACTCTTTCTCTTTTTCCGCTTTCCAAGTGGATGTTGACTTTCATGGTAACATTGCAAGTTACATGTAGACAATGGCAGAGCCTCTGTCATTTTGAGTCTCTGAATGACTATGTGGAACAGAGCCCCCTGCTGCTGATTGGATATCAAATAAACTATATTATGTGGATAGCCACTGAGATTTGGAATTTACATGTTACTACACTTAGAATTGCCTTCAATAATGTTCCATGTTACTTCTTTGTAGTGATAAATTTTGCTATACTTCTACAATTTTTCAGTTTTAAGGATCAAAAAGTATACTATCATTATAGTTCTTGGACCTCACAACAAGAAAACTTTAACTCCAGTCCTAACAAGCCATACTACCATTTCAGAAAACTTAGATACCTAACCCATTCTCTAATATGAAACTTTTGTACATTTAATTCTTTCTGTGATTTATAATCGTAGTTATTTCATCAGTGCTACTAACTAAATAGTCTTTCTGCCTCTCGTAGCAGCTCCTCTTCCATTGCTCTCAATAATTATTCTAAACCCTCTCTTCTTGTATCAAACCTCTCACCAATCCACTAATTTCTATTCTCTCATATTCTGAGAATAAGCTTCTTCCTTAAGGCAGTTGAAGCCATCATGGCTCTCTTGCAATAAAATACTGGACATACTGCAGTTCTCACACTAAGCACCTCTTTTCCTACCTCAGTGACTTGGGAGACATGGTTTACAGACCCTCTAGATGATTTGAAGTAATTCACTTAACCTCTTTGAGTTATCTATAAAATGGGAATCATAATCTTTGAACTGACTATGTAGATCTATTATGATGACCAAAGAAAGTAATGTATATGAAAATCTTTACATTTTCAGGGATTATTGTAATTTTTGTCCATGTCGCTATTCTATTTTAATTTCTAGTTAGACCATATTTAAACATCTGCCCTCAATCGTCAAATACATTTTGTTACCAAACATTCCAGAATGTTAAGTTGTAAGTTTTATGGGGACAAAATTCTCTGTGGTCAGGATGTTTGTCATAATTTCTTAGTTTTATGACCATAAATTAAGTTCTATGTTTAGTGAATTCTTGGATATTGTGTTTATAATGGTCCACATACATATCCTTCCTCAATCCCTCCAGATGCATCAAATAAACAATCTCTTCACTGTTATTTCCACAGTTTTAATTTGTAGCCTCATATTCAACTATCTAGTAAACAGCATCAGTATCCCAGGCAGGAAATTTCAGTTTACATACTTCTTTCCTGGTGTGTAGGTCCAATGAACATTTTTGAACATCTATTGTCTTCAAGGTGCTATGCTCCTGAAGATACACCAGGAGACATGTCTCCTTCCTTTAAGGGGTGTAAATAAAGTGCCACTCCCATCAACTGACCAAACTGGAAGATATCATTTATAAGATTCATACAGTTGCTCAAACTGCACCTTAGAACTCATTTTAGATTTCTCGATCTCCCTCAGCCGCTACATCCAATCAATTGGAAAGTCTGACAATTTTATGAGCTAAATATTTCTCAGATATATACCTTCTTCTTTAAGGCCTTTAGCATTTATCTCTCCATAACTTGACCCCTGCATATCTCACAAGTCTTATGTCATATACTTATTGCATTTTATGCTATATTCAGGACATGGAGAACATATTGTAGTTTTTCAAACATATTATGATTTTCTGCATAGCTTTGCTCATATAGTTTTCTCTCACAGAATACCCATGCCCCTATTTCTTTTCCAGCTAATATTATCTGACTCTCTCTACCCACCAAATGATGTACTTTTAAAATCTATTTGAATACAACGCACAAACCTCAACCATAATGTTTACCATTTGTATAACTGTATCTGTTTCTAGATTTATCTCCATTATTGGACTAAGGTATTGCAGGAATATCTCAATAGTAAAGATAGAATGAAGGTCATCTTGGAATGCCCAGAAATGTAGTATTAATTTAGCATAAACTAAAATTTAGCATGAGCTCAATAAATATTTAACTTATCTTGCAATACTAGGTGTGTAATTAATAAAATTAATTTCCACTTAATAGAATAAAAGCAAACTTTTCAACAGCAACAATAGTTGCCAAAAAGTCATAAAATTGATTCTAAATGCTAAGAAACATTAATTGTTATCCTAAAACTGTATTCCCAGTCAAACTACCGTAGAAGAATAGGGTGAAATAAATAAACCCTTAAAGAAGAAAAAATAAAAAGCACTTTTTTAATTTTTTTTCTTGGAATAAGAAAACTTTAATGAAGAATTTATCAAAGAATATGTTTAAGAAAGGAGATTTTTTTTTTTTAAAGGACTGATGCTAAAAGGACCTGTGAGCAAAGAATGTAGTAGACACGTGATTAATTTCAAATAGCATCATCTGTATAAAACACAAGACTAACATCATCTGTAATGACACACTTGGGGGTGAACATCATGGTAGAACTAAAATACTTGACAACAACATGTAAGGTGGCAAGGAGTGAGATGCTGATAAATTAAACCATTCAGGGTCTTATATTATTTGATGGTAGAAATGTTAAGATTGTATTTTGCTAAATTTTAACGGAACCACTATAAGATATATGTAGAATGTTGGTCTTCTGGACCAGCAAAAGAAATATAAAATTAGAGAAAACTTAAATGACTCAAAAGAATGTTGAAGAACAAAAAGAAGTGCAGACAGAGAGAGGTAACCGTAAAACTTACAGTCGGATGCGGGCAAACTCCCAAATGTATCAGTAAAAAGTAAGCTCAGCAGTTAAAGAGCATAGGTTTCTACATTGGGAGAACTTTATCAATGGAAATGTAACTGGGTGCTAGCTCTCCAAGAAGTCCCAGGTCAATGTATACCAAGAATCTCAAATTGATTTACCTTTTTAAACTAAGTAATATCATTTCTAATAATTTATTCAAAAGGAGTAATCAGAAATGCAACCAAAGAAATATACATGTACACAGGCAAACATAACATATACATGCAAGGCAATATTCTAAAGTTTTTAAAATAACGCCTTATTATTCAGTAGCAGGAAAACATATTATAGTGGGATGCAAAAAATAATGGGTTTCCCAAACCCTTTATACAATAAGAACTAAAGTTTATGAAATTTAATTTTCTTTTATTTCTTTTCTTTTATTTTATTAGTACATAGAAAAGAGATGAAAATAAATAGTCAAAATGTTAACAGAAGTCATTTCTTGATGTTGGGCCACTGGGTGATCAACTTGTTTTTCTCAATATACTCTTCTGATAATTATGACCGTTAAAAAGTATTTTTTTTGTAATCAGAAAAAAATACGTTTATTTCCTGTAGTGGAACTCACAGTGCACTTCAAACCTACTTCATATGCAGTATAATTTGGTTGAGGATAACACTCTCAAGAGAATATACATTTTCACATTTCTTTACAGTTTTACGTGTGTGTGTGTTACGTTGGATGAATTTTTATGGGGAGCTTGAGGTAGGTATTGCTATCATCATGCCCTTTTCACAGATAAGGAGACTGAAGGTCACAGAGATTATCATATGTTTGCTTGAAAGACGTTGCCTGGTACTTGTTTTGTAGATTCCGTATTCTCTGTGCCAATTTCTCAAAATATGTACAGGCTACTGACATATTTTCCAAATTTTTACACCAATTTCCATAAGGATACTGAGCAGCAATAGTGATGGTTCAGTTGGTGAGTATGTAAATATGTGCACGGGCATCTCAGCCTCAGTTGGCACCTTCCCACCACCACAGGAGCACCAGGCCAAGCAGCTGTCCAGATGTGATTTCTTAACAAACTGTAACCACAGATATAAACACCTCTCATAGATGAGGAACATTCTCATGATCTCGACACTGCAATTTCTTAGAAATTTCCTAACATCGTTAGGAAACATTCCCTAATCTCGTAAAGAAGGTTTGAGGTTTTTAGCTTCTTTCTTGATTTGTAAAAAGAAGTAGTGGAAGATAAAACTGGACAGCTGGGGAGACCATGCTCAGTGGGACTTCTCAGATACCTGCAGTAGCCAACATGTCTTTGGTCCTGCTTTCCCTCCTCTGGTTCATCATTCAAACTCAAGGTAAGCACTAATATACTGACATTTTATACAAAAGTCAAATTATTTAATGCATTTTTAAAGTACCCTTGAGAAAAATGTCATGCTCATATGACCCAAAGATCATTAATGTTTGCGTTGTGGCATGTTTACTTAGTTTATATAAATTTCATCCTCATAGTCAAGACGTTGTGATTAACATAATTTAATTAGGATGTCTCTGAAATTTTATCTCTCATTCAATAATCCTACTAGTTCTATCATTTTATTTTCTAAAACACACAGCCCCAAATGACACCAGAGTGTTAACTTCCAGACCAGAAATCAAGAATTTCCTAACCATCTCCAACATTATCTTGAATAACATTCATATTTTCTACACCATAAGGAGAGAATCACTTATCCAAAGATACAATTTGTTCAAAGCTTGTGCTAAGGTGAATGACAAGGAAGATTCGTGAGTTAAATTAGACATAATTGTGTTATTAAGCAAAATTAAAAATTAATTGACCAACTGAACAGTTAGTTCTAAAGTTGGGACTAGAATTTATTAAAGTGCACGCTAACTTCAATCTGACAACTCTTTCCACTAGTAGGATCCATATTCTCTTTTGAAGGAGAACTTTTCATGTGTAGTGACTCCTTCTTAGGACAGCATCACAGCAGCACTTTGTGGGGCTGGCTAGGAGAGAATATTTCTTTATTATTTCCCCCCAGGTTCTCCACATCAGCCGGTGTAGAATCACTTTGTGTTCCTAAGATCAACCTGACTGTGACACTGTGTGGGAAACTGTCTCTAAGCACAGACATGTGTCTGGGAAAATGGGAGCATTTAAAAATAAGACTGACCTTATATGGATGATGGAACAGTTGAAAGAAAAAAATAGATAAGGTGTGCCTGCCATCTTCCTAGACTGGTGCTAAATAATTTTACATATTTTATGTTATTCAATTTTTACACCAACCTCTATTTTAAATAAGTAAACTGATAGAAAGGCAAAGTGACTTTTACAAAATCATTTAGCTGGGACTTAAGACCACATCTTTTGGCTCCAATGTCAGTTCTTTTCCTACTATATGTAAGCAAAATAGGAAATTGTCCATGTAATCTAATTCCAAGTGCATCAAGAAGGACACTTAGTCTATAGACAATTTTCCTAGCTGCTCTCTGATGCTTTAAAATTTCTCCAGCAAAAGATAGCAAAAACTTTAGATTTTCTGTGACATCTAAAATCTTGAGGGCAAATGCTGAGAGAAAGGACATAATTGTTTATTGTTGCACTGAGAAATAAAATAACTGTTAGTAGAGTCTTTCCTAAGAATGAAGTATTATCTGTATGTGAAAAATTTGATTTTTGCACTGGGTATTCAGGGGTTGCACTACAGAGGGAAAAAGATATAAAAAGAAAAAACAGAGATCTCTGAGAACATTGAAAGAAAAATTCACAATTTTGAAGAGGACTGCAGGGGAAGAAGGAACTGGATTACTACAGGCAAAATCCCTGGCTCTTGTAATCTCTGTTCTAATCTAAGACTTTCCCTTTCTGAGCATGGCGGCCCAGAGTTCGCATATGTTGAGAGATCATCCAAAGAATTGTTTCATCATTGTCATGTCTTTCCAGAATGAGGGGAGAGAGCAAAAAAAAAAATTTTTTTTCTTATCAAAGCTAAAGTAGAAGGAGGAACTTGTTCTTCTCATCGTTTACCTTCTCAAAGGGCATCCGGTCTTCCATGCCATTTCAACCAACCAACCAACAAAAGCAAAAATCAAAACAAAAACCTTTAAATATTTTGTATCAATATTCTCTCTCTTTATCTAGCAATAGCCATGAAGCAAACACCTGAATTAGAACTCTATGAAGTAGTTCGTCCTAAAAGACTACACATTTTACGCAAAAGAGAGATACAGAACAACCAGACAGAAAAGCTTGGTGAAGAGGTAAGCAGTGTGAATGACCGTGGGATTTCACAATCATCTGAAGAGACAATAAAGAGCCTTTTTACTAAGAGATGTCACATGTCACATCTAATAGTTGAATCTTGAAACCCACCTATACAGCTCCCCTTTGTCCAGGAGAGAGCAGAGGGTTTCTCAGAATGCTTTTCCAATTAAGCAGCAGGAAGAGAGCTAACTGCTTCACTTGATCAGAAAGAATAAAGCTGCTTGGACATTTCTCAAAGTTTGTTAAAAAAAAAAAAAAGGCAACCCTTTCCAGAAGGAGATGTTCCTTGTCAACTCACCAAACCCATGTCTCCTCCCCCTGACCCCACTGGATCGCCTTTTCCTTGGCCATTTTGTCTATAATGGAGAATTCAACATTATCTCAACAGTTAACAAGATTTAAAAAAAATTAATTAATTAAGGATATTAACTCTTTGACTATTACATGGTTGTGAACATTTCCCTCATTTTACAATTTTTTAAATTAAATTAAAATGTTTATTGAATGCCTATTATCTATTTATTTTTCTTTAAGCTTTTTATTCAGGTAACATTGGTTTATAACACTATATAAATTTCAGGTGTACATCATTATATTTCGATTTTTGTATAGGCTGCATCATGCTCACCACCCAAAGTCTAGTCGCCATCTGTCACTGCGCCCATGTGTCCTTTTACCCTCTCACCTTCCCCTCCGCTAACCACCAATCTATTCTCTGTATCTATGTGTTTGTTTGCTGTTGTAGTTTTAATCTTCCACATATGAGTGAGATCATATGGTGTTTGTCTTTCTCTTTCTGACTTATTTCGCTTAGCACAATGCCTTCGAGGTCCACCCATGTTGTTGCAAATGGCAAGATTTCATCTTTTTTTAGGGATGAATAGTATTTTTTGTACTTTATTTAATTCTTAGTAGGTTTTTATTGGCTTTCTTTAGTATATTTGGTTTGATTTTAAAGTAATAAAAATATATGCCTTCTTATCCTGTTGGTGACCCATTAGGATACACAGGACTGTATATTGTACATAAGAACAAGTGATAAATCCCTCTCTCACACATTAGAGTTAGTTTAATCTGTAAGCATTATTACACTTACAGTAGAGAGTTATTGCACTTTTTGGAAACCCATCTTAATGTACAATTTGTGTTTCGTTTTACATAGTTTAAGGGCATAAGGGAACTGTTTTTATTCTATATGCATTTGTAATTATTCTTTTATATATACTACATATATCATTATATTATAATTATTTTAGATAGACTCAGAAATTAATATCATTACATCATTAAATATTTTTAGGAAAGGCATGAGCCTGAACTTCAGTATCAGATTGTATTAAATGGAGAAGAAGTCATTCTTCACCTAGAAAAGACCAAGTAAGTCGTACTTCCTAAAAGTCTAATCACTGGATTGTATTAAGAGAATGTGAAAAGATGAATCTTCTTGTGACTCTACGTAGTGTGATTTGAAACAGAAGACATGAAGTATATTGAGCTTTAGGTGTTGTTGGTTTATGCTAATATTATCTAAAAAGGCTGATGCCCTCCTAGAAAATCACGTGCAAAGTATAAAACAAAGAGAGATGCAATGTAAATGACTGTCTTCCTTGACACTTCTTAAAATTTACTGAAAATATTTTCTCCCCCGACAAACTCAGACCTTTGGTGCAGCTGTCCATTTCTTTTATAAGAACACATATCCAAGGCTTATGCGGGGCCCACAGGCTTGAGACAGATCCCAGGGGATGGGGCTCCACCAAGTTCTATAGCAGTCAGTAAACTCGTCCCTGAACACAATGGTCCTTTATGCATATTTGTGACCCAGCACCCTTCAGAGACCTGGTGGAGGCTGTGCCCTTGGTACAAAGAATCCCAAAAGAACCCATTTGACGATAGAGAATCTGCAGCTGAAAAGTAGCTGAGGGCATTTCTTCCCTCAGATCTAGTAGGTATAGCTAACGTCTTGATTTGCTTCAGCAGCAGAGTTCCAACGTTGGAAAAGGATTAACGGATCAGAATGTCAACTCTTTCTCATTGTAGACATTATCATTCCTTTAGTGCTGAAGATCATGGCAGGAATATCAGCCTTCATTACACCTTGAGTGTATGTTGCAACTTTTTGCTCTCTGCAGGGGTCTCCTGGGGCCAGACTACACTGAAACATATTACTCACCCAGGGGAGAGGAAATCACCACAAGGCCTCAGAATGTGGTAAGTTCCCAGTGCTTTCTGGGATTCTTTCTGGAATCTGCCACTTACGTTAGAAGATTCATAAGTGCAAGGACAACTTTCAAAAAATTGAAGGACTTGAAAGCAAGATGCTCATCGATGAACAATGAGACAAGAGATGAAAAAAATCAAAGCTATTTTAAAAGGTCAGAGTAGTAGCAGGTTTCCAAGTGTTGCATTTTTAGAAGCAACCAAAAGTCATTCTCCTGGATAATCTTACCAATGGGTTAGAAATACTCTCCCTTATAGGTACTTGAAATGCCACACCACTATTTGCTGTTTCTGATGATATATGCATTTATCCTGAGCTCAGCAATGGAATATCAATTATTTAATTAGCATAACTTTGTATCTAGTTAAAACATCATTCTATAGACGATGTCAAGGCCTAGAAGTCAGACACAGAGAATCGTGGCCAAGGGAAGAACAGGAAGACAATAGAAAATGGCTCAATAATGGGGTATTGCTAAACTAAGTGAGTTTCTCAGAGCCACCCTCCCTAGCACCTCAATCATGTACGTCTGTATAAAAAAAGCAGACAAGACTTCTGCCACAAAATGGCTATTTGTTCCCTTCTCGCATTAAAACTCTTACCTCATGGATATCTGGAGTTTTGCTAACATTGACCTCCAAGGAAAGTATCTGATAAATTAATTCATGCTCAAGTGGGAATGCCTGACAGTACCTGAACACAGTACCTTTTCCAAGTCTTCTATAAGAAAATGTTTTTAATGACAAGATTTCTTCAAAAAAAAAAAAAGAAAAACACGACTAGAATCTCAGACCTTGAGACAAGTCAGTTTATTTTGAACAGGAGGTTATTCGTTAGCTTTCTTAGATCATTCTACACAAGTGACCCCCTACTTTGCTTATATAGAATGCCATCCATGTCTGAATCTCTAGCTGTAGACAAATTCTCTGGATTTTTCATGCCGTTAAAGGAATTCCACTAACACACCAATTAAAATAGTGAGTTGAACAAGTTACTGTGAGGAGCTCAAGAGTGATAGTGTGGCCTCTTGAGGACTCTAGAATCTAAAAAAATGTGTACTTTGTCTTATTGATATGTGATACACAGTGTCTTAGGGACTCAGAACAAGAGTGTTGTTGTGAAGTTGGACCCTTAAATTTGGGAGCTCTCTGAGAGTCCTGGAGATCAGAGGGGGCTAGCTACTGCTCAGATGCAGTGTCCACTTTTCACCATGAGCCCACTCAGGTTCAACCTCCCTGGTCTTTAGTGAAAATTAGCATCAGAAAGGCAACTCCAGACATCCACCACAGAGTGTTGCCAGGGGCAGTGGTGGGGCAGTCCATAACATCTCTGAGGTTCTCATTGTTTTTGTTTCTGGGAACTCGTCTGGCCACAGCCACCACTCGAAGAAATTCCCTGCATATTCAATTTAGCACCTTTCACCACAACTGTGATACATTTATTCTTGTAGTTAAAAAAATTATTTCTTGTTTCCAACTTTAGGAACACTGCTACTATAAAGGACACATCCTAAATGAGAAGGACTCTGTTGCCAGTATTAGTGCTTGTGATGGGTTGAGGTGAGAGCCACTTACAAAACTATTAAACATCAAGCAGCGTTTTTTTACACAGAACTGAGTCTTTACAGACATGTCTTCTCACTATCTTGGTAAAATTTTCTCCATCATTCAAATGCTAAATACATGTGCTTAAAGTGAAGAATAAAGTGTCAGCCTTGCATCATTTCATTATCTGCTTCTCTGGCAGAAGTCAGCCCTTGGAATGTACGAACCAGGTGCTTCACTCGGGACCTTGATGATGTCTGGATCCATTTCCATGTTTTTCCACCCCAATCCCTGAAACCGTTCTGCTTCATTTTCTTAAAGATTCTACCCTGCAATTGTCATGGTTGAACATAATTTTTAAGTGTGTGTGTGTGTGTGTGTGTGTGTGGTACTTCTATTTACAAAGGTAATTCTTGCCAATTGGGGAAATTTGGAAAGTAAGACAAAGTACAAAGAAGAAAATAACCACCATAAAATTTTACCTCTGAGTGATCACTATTATTAATGTTTTGCCATGTTTACAGCCTTTTATGCATATAGACAAATGTTTCTTTTACATGGTTGAAATAGGCAACATATTGTTGTTCTTCCAATATGGTTCACACCATATGACATCATAAGCCTTTTACCATATCACAAAATATCTTCCTGGATGTAATTTTTAACACCTTTGTTGGCTTTGTAATATTCCATCATAAGTATTTACTTCATATTTCTGAACTAATTTTATTCCTTATAAGAGGGATTCTTTCAACTACTATTATTTCCAATCAGTCCCTCTGGCTTATCTGCTAATCATTCGTTCTCTCCTCTGGGGTTCGTGATATCTAAACACTTCTTTATTCCATTCTCCATTATATTCCTAGGATAAGCCAAGAAGTGTTTGCTATGTGAATAAATAAACTGTGAAAAATATTTATTGAGCTCATGATGTAAATTTCAAATTCATTGAGATAACTTCATTTTGGTAATTCTTGTTCAGAATACTCTGATAAATAATAGAGGCTTCACTTTAATATTGACAAATAATGATTACAACTTAAATTAGTAACAATTAGCTGAAAGGCCCATGAATGAAAACTGTGTGTGAGCTTGAGCTTGAGGGAGTGGTCTCACCACATGACGGTCGGCGTATAGCACTCCGTGTGGCAGAGAATGCTGAAACATGAGTCTCTGGATCTCACAGGGGCTACTTCACACATCACAATCAAACATACATGATAAAGCCTCTGAAAAGCACAGACCAGGAAGAACACGCTGTCCTCACATTCAACCAAGAGGAGCCAGACCTAGCTCGTCAGACCTGTGGCGTGAGGAGTGTGGGCAGGAAACAAGGCCTCCCTCGCACCTCCAGGTCCCTCAATAGCCCACAGGTAAGTGTAGTTTTCCCGTCATCATTGATTTCAGTTGTCTCCGCAGTGGTATATGGTGTACTGCTGTGCTCAGCAATGACTGGTGTATGTGAAGCCTGTCATTTATTTACTTATCCTTTGATTTAATTTCCCACTGGAGAAAAGAAAGAAATCTCTCTGTAAACTTTTGAATCTTTTAGGATAAATATAATTACTCACAACTTTTTTTTTTTACTCTTTGTAAAGCAAGACGAGTTTCTTCAGGCTGAGAAATACATTGACCTCTTTTTGGTGATGGATAATGCCTTTGTGAGTATGAAATATGTGTGCTTCTTGGCCAGTTAAGTTAACTTTTAAGTTTTCTTATCAGGCAAACACAAGCAATAAACTATTCTAGCTGAAATACAGAGCCTGTCCACTTGGTTGTCTTGTCTGTTCTACCTGCCTTGGTAGCAATAGTTTTACTCACACACTAGCTTAATATCCATCTGCTGCCAAAATATTCAGATATTGGAAATATACCGAATACCAGATAGCTACAGCAAATCAACTACAATAATGGAAAACAGCAAAAAATGGGTTATTAAAATATATTTTAAAATTCTCACTCTATTATATAAAGTAGATACAAAACTATATGTACTTTGCAAATTATAAATATATACAAAAATACTAGAATCTGTACTTCTAACTAGCAAATATTGCTTTATATCAAATTTTAATAATATTGAATTGTTTAAAAACTTTGAAATTAATTTGATTTATTTAACTTAAAAATGAAAAACACTGAAATTTTGTATGAATGCCTGATTTTTCTCTTACCAAAATTTCTTATATTTGAAATAGAATTTGTTGAGACACAGTCTTATAAAGGTAGACACAGAATGAATAGATGTTTATTTACATTGAAATGTATAAATTTTCTTAAAATGTGAAATCCTGTATCCCATCAGCCTTCTCACTTTAATTTGTGATTCTAACTCTACTTTGCATTTTTTATTTTACAGTATAATATGTACAAGAAGAATCTAACTTTGATAAGAAGCTTTGTGTTTGATGTGATGAATCTACTCAATGTGGTAAGATATTTGTCCTATAAACATGTGTGTCCACATAGGACCCTGGGGCTTCCCCTCTGGTTTCACCAAATAAGAAGTTGGGAGGGTCACAATGGCTTAAGGTCAGCAGTTTTGGGAAATTTGGCAGAACCGGGGTCAATATCAAGGTAAAATCACATATACTACAGCAAAGGCAACTTCTAGGGTTTCTATTTTCAAAGTGGGATACAATTATACATTGCTTGTGGCCAGCAAAAGATCTAAAACACTAAAGAAATCTCAAACATTTTCATGAAGAAAAATGCTCTTCCCACAGATTTATAAAACCATAGATGTTCAAGTAGCCTTGGTAGGTATGGAAATCTGGTCTGACGGTGATAAGATAAAGGTGGACTCCAACATAGGCGTCACCTTTAACAACTTTCTGAATTGGCATCGTTCTAACCTGGGGAAAAAGAAGATCCACGACCATGCTCAGCTACTCAGGTGAGCACCCACTGGCCAGGCCCAGGTGTATATAGGCGGAGGAGAGAGTTATTCCAAAGGTTTCTTGGCAGGGATTTCTGTTCAATTTTATCTCCTCGATCAGTTTTCAGAGAGCCTAAGTTCTACCATTAGCAATTCATCTGTGAGATTATTGGAGAGCCACGTCAGATCACTAAAATGGCCTCTTGGACGTGGGATAACTATCTGCGGTCACTATAACGCTATGGAATAGCAGAAGCTTTTCTGGGGCCTAGAGAATACAAAAAGGGTAGGGCAACAAGGGAAATCTAAAACATAATTGACAAAAGTTAATAGCTCCAAAGACTCACATTGTGACAACGTATCTGTAACTTTCACACAGTGGAGTTGCCGCCAGCAATCGACGTGCAGGAATGGCAGCCGCGAATTCCTTATGTTCCCCATCATCGGTTGCTGTTATTGAGGTTTGTAAACTTATAGTAAGGCTCCTTGTGGTTCTACCTCCTTTGAAGACCAGCAATAATGCCTTATACACAGTTAACACAATGAATATCTGCTGAATCAATAAGTAAAGGTAGAAATGAACCTACTGCTAGATCATTACACTGAAGATTCCCTGTATTATGAAAAAGAGTATCTCCTTACATTGGCCTTCCCAGAAGCCTTCCCTCTTAGATGGTGTTAGGGAATAAGAACAGGGAGATTGGGACAGAAAGGAAATCTAGATGCCCTCTGTGGCCTGAGCCAGCTTCAAGTTAAGCACTCCCAGTATCAATGGCCAGAGAGATCAGAGAAGGTGCATGTTGGTGTCATACAGCCAACCACTACTAATGGGCAGCATGGCAATAGTTTTTGGAGGCCTATGACTATACAGTAGGGTACCTTTCAGTACTTTCTGTGAAGACTATAAGTACCTAATTTAACCATGTTTTACCAAAAATTTATTATTAGTTCAACAAGTATTTATTGAATCAATGCTAGATCACAGGAGCCAATCATCTCAAATATTTACTCAACATTTTGTAATAACCAATGACAAGGGAAGGAGCTTAATGACTCATTATTTTTCACCTGTCAAACTGCTATTTTTAGTACTGAACATAGGCAATAATTAAGAAATAACTGAATAAAATAAGTAATAGAAGTTTTTATTTTTTCTAGGCTAAGAACAAGAATAGTGTGTCACTTGTAGCAGTGATGTCACATGAGTTGGGTCATGTCCTTGGAATGCCTGATGTTCCCTATGACACCAAGTGTCCCTCTGGGAGTTGTGTGATGAATCAATATCTGAGGTGAGACCTCGCCACCCTAAAGAAAAAAAGTATTTCTTAAGTCTTAAAGAATTCAGATGCAGTCTACATAGTGGACGGATATTTTTACCAAGATCTGTGTATCTCATTGATTCTCCCCCCAGACTAGGTTTGACCAGCTATTGGGGCTCATTATTTAAGATTTCCAAATATGCCAAGACAGAGCTTATAAGTATGGTGATCACGTTATTTTAACTTAAAATAATTTTAACTTTAAATAATATATTTTCTAAAAGTATGTATCTAATTAAGATGATGACAATATTCTTATATATCTCCATCCCCAATCAATCAATCCATTTTTGTATAATTACTAATTACCTTCTAATGCTAGGCACCTTACAAGGACTTAGGAAAGAAAAATGAATAAAACGTACCTCGCTCTTGAACTGCTTATGAATAGAAAGAGAAATTTGTCCACAGAACCTCTAAGTTTGCGATTATTTCCTTTCACTAGTTCATTATTCTTATCGCTTCCCTCTCAGCCCTCAATGGTGAGATGAGCGAATGGTAGCAAATGGTGAGATTCATCACTGCGGCCATGAGGACAGTACTGAATCCAGAGGGGGAGTTAAAGTCCTTCCAGCTTCAGAACTGGGGCTCTAGGAAAAGAATTTTCCAACTAGCATGGAATGCATACTCTGTCGCCCTCCACATAGAACACAGTGCAGTGCTAAACAGATACTAAGTTTGAAAAATCCTTTGAACTAGGTAATAAATATAGTTAGACAAGTCAGATTCTCATGTTCATTTATCACTGCATATCATGGTATTTCTGGTTTTTCTTCTGGTTACAGTTCAAAATTCCTGAAGGATTTCAGTACCTCGTCCCGTGCACATTTTGAAAAGTACATGTTATCTCGTAAACCAAGGTGCCTGCTGCAAGCTCCAATTCCTGAAAATATAATAACACAACCGGTGTGTGGGAACCAACTTCTGGAAGTGGGAGAAGATTGTGATTGTGGGTCTCCTAAGGTATGAAAATATCCATGGTTAAAATATTTCTTAGAGAGTTATTGCAGCACAAGAATTACATTGTTTTCTTTTCTCTTTAAAACCTGTTGTTTTGGAGCTAGCTCAGTCCTGCAGTGGTTAAGGTCACATGCTCTGCTTTGGCAGCCTGGGGTCCACGGGTTTAGATCCCAGGTGCAGACCTACACACAGCCCTCAAGCCATGCTGTGGTGGCGTCCCACATACAAAATAGAGGAAGATTGGCAACAGATGTTAGTTCAGGGCCAATCTTCCTCACCAAAAAAAAAGCTGTTTTGGAAATTCTTTCTAAAGACAAGCTTGGCATCAGAGCAAAAAGAAACTGCACCCGTGTTTTTAGTACTAATTTTAGTCATCTTTTGGAAGGCATTGTAAAAGCCAGGATATGCTTATGACATGACTGTATGAAGTTCAATGTTAAGAAGCAAATCGTTAACTATGATCTTCCCTGGACATGTTAGTCACAAATTCCTAAATCACATAAAGTCACAGCTGATCATTCATTGAGCAGTAACAACTTCAGATCTAGAAGCAAATTCTCTCCTAGAGAGAGTCGGCATCCTCTCATCAAGCCAGTGTGTAAACCAGAGAGAAAATAAAACTGAGAAGGAGAAAAAAATAAAAATCACAAAAACCCATAGAAAATGGGTAGTAAACATAGAACGTCTAAGATAACTACTATAATTCTGCTAATCTTTATAAAAATCTGACTCCTTCAAGACATCGGTGTTCTCTAAAGAATGTCTCTGATAGAATGTTTGCCAGCAATTCTACATGGGGTTTCTAAAAGAGAGCCTTCTGTTTCCCTAGGAATCTTCTTTTAAGACTAAAAAAATAAATTAATATTAGGAGAGAATTTCTATGTGTCAGACAATCTGCAAAATGCTTTCATATACACCATCTCCTTTATCACTCACAGCAAACAAAAAAAATAGGTTTTCTTATTATCCCAATTTAGAGAAGAAGTGAGACTCATAACAGTTAAGTAACTAGTTCCAAGGATACAAAACTAGTAACTGGTGAAGCCTGTTGCAACCCAAGATTCATCCATTACTTTAAGCGGCTCTATGACCAGGGGGAAGGCTACAATCTCTCTATGCTTCAGTTTATTTATTCAGAAATTTTAAGCAGTTGAATTATATTAGAAGATTGCATGTTGTAACTTATTCACTTGTAAAGAATATTGCAAATGATCTGTTAATTATAAAGAGATATGGAATTTTAGAAATGATTTGATACTTTCTAATAAGCTAGGCGTAAGTTTATCTCATTCTTACTTGCTTACATTCCCATATCGTTTCTTGGGTGGAAGACAATTGAAGGTTCTCATAATCGTGCATATTTCTAATTTCAGCAGGCAAATGGCATGTGTTCAGAGCAAAGTGACAAAAGAGAGAGAGAGAATTACTCTCTGTATGATACGTAAAATATAAGATTCTTTAAGTATATCAGCCAGCTCCTATGTTATTTCCATATCCTACTGATTTTCTTCTTATGTAGTTTGAATAAACTAGAGAGTTGAATAAAACTAGAGACTTCAGGCTAATGAACAACTGAATTGTTAAATAACTATTTTCTTATCCATAAAGTAGTACATATACTTTATATAGTATCCTTTAGTTAGTAATCCAGTTTTCCATGATCTGATATGCTGTTTTATTATTTTTCTGTACATAGTTAGGACTTTTCCTAGATTTTAAAAATAATCATTCTACCTATATGTCTAGATATTACCACACTAGCATCATGCTATTATAATAATTGTAACAATACAATGCATTTTACTTTTTATTTAAATTTTTTTTAAAAAAATTGGCCCTGAGCTAAAATCTGTTGCCGATCTTTTTTCTTCTTCTTCTTCTTCCCAAAGTCCCCTAGGACATAGCTGTAGATTCTAGTTGTGAGTGCCTCCAGTTGTGCTGTGGGGGACGGCCGCCTCAGAGTGGCCTGATGAGCGGTGCCATGTCCGTGTCCCGGATCCAAACCGGCGAAACCCCAGGCCGCTGAAGGGCAGCGTGCAGTCTTAACCAGTTGCCAGGCCGGTCCCTACAATGTCTTTTAGTAACTTTGATGGCAAGTCTCTTCATTGGTATTTTTTTGGGCAGAATTTGCATGGCACTTCTTCAGTGTTCATTCTTCCATTTAACTCTTGGTATTTTTTGTTGGTTTGCCCACAAATACAATTGAGACTCTGAAATGCAGTGAATTCGTATGTCACTCTAACGGCCACGGGTGTTGTCATTCTCTCAAGCCTTGTGGTAGACGACAAATCGCCTTTCAAGTTTCTCAGGAAAGTTGTATACAAAGTCCTGTAGTTCTTGCATATTTTGAACGTTTATTCTGAAGTATTTTCAGTTTTGCTTTTTGCTATTAGTATGCGTAATGTTTTCTCTTTTATTTTAGGTTCTAGTTTATTACTCTTTTTGACCTTATTTTATTATCTTCAGTTGCTATCTCAGTGACTTATCCAAGAGTTGATTCTCTATTTTATCCGGGTCAAGAATTTTATCACATACAAATAATGAAAATGTGATTTATACTTTCCAATTATTAGACTTTTATATGTTTTCCTTGTCTCATGGCATTTATCAGAATTTCCATAAAAATATAAACTATAAATAATCCTTGTATTATCCTTCATTTTATCAGATATATTTTTGCTGTTCGTCAGATAGATTTTCCTTATAATGATGATGCAAAATTCTGTTCATAGTTTACTTAAATATGCTTAAATAATTCAAATAAAGGCTACTGAATTTTTACCAACTAATTTTTGCCATCTATCACAATATTAGTTGTTTTCTTCCCTCAATCTCTTAATATGATGGATTATATTACTTTATTCTGTACAATTGAGACACGCTTGCATTTTTGGTGAAAAAAAACGCAGCATAGTTGTAATGGAGAGCTGTGATATTAATGAACTGGTGTTTTACTAACATTTTACTCATGTTTTTGTCTTTATATTAATCAAGGCGAACAGTATGTGTGTGTGTGTGTGTGTGTGTGTGTGTGTGTGTATTCATTACCAGTTCTCATTATCAGAATTATGAAGGCTTGGTAAAATGAATTGAGGATTTAAAATTTTTTTCTCTATCTTTAAGGAGTTCAAATACTATAGAAATATCCTCCCTTGAAGTTGTAAATTAATTTACACATAATACCATCTAAGTCAAATTTATTTGGGGTTAATTCTTGGGCAATCCTATTTTTGTCCTTTTAAGAAGTAGTTTCGCTTACTCTCTACGATTTGTTCTACTATTAAATTTCCTTGGTCATTTCCACTGCTAGCAGAGTAATTTAGTTTAAAAAGTGAAATTTCATTGCCATCTTGTACCAGAACTCAGTCTATAGGAAAAAAATGCTGAACCCACTTTCCTATTGTGTGTGTGCCTTAAAGGAATGTACCAATCCTTGCTGTGAGGCCACGGCCTGTAAGTTAACATCTGAAGCAGATTGTAGAGAAGAGACTCTGAACCATATCATGTAAGACCTTTTTTTTTCTTTCTTTGTTCCCAAATAGTTTCTCACTTTTATTTCAGATTTTAAAAAGATGTGCCACTGAGTTCTATAATACACTAAAATACAATTTATTTCACATTTTTGAGATGGCTGAATTTCTGAAAAGAAATAAAAGCCACTATTATGAATATAACTCAGTGCTGTGTCTGTTCTAATATACTAATGAGAAAAAATGGCTATTTCGTTATTTGTGAGACTAGGAATGCTGAAATCTGTGCTTAAAATTGTATAAATTCTATTAGGTAGTAATGACTTTAATACAAACCAGGATGAGAGAAAGAAAAGTTTATTTTTAAAAAAGCCTCGGTTGCTGAGCAAATTTTATTCTTGGTTAAGAGCTGATAGTTTTAATTTGCAAGGTAGTCAGAAAATCAATAATGTTTAAGAACACACTACCAGATTCGTCGATTTTATCCCTTTTACAGTGTCTCAATAAGCCATAATTTATGTATTATTTTTGTGTTTTATACAGTCCAACATGAGTTGGGCTAGGGAACCCAGTTGATCTGTATATGGTATTTGTTTCAGTGAAAAATAGTCTCTGAAACTAAAAATGTCATTAATAATAAAAAAAATCCTAAGTTGGGGGAAGACTCAGGATAAATTATATTTATTGTGCCCCTCTTCCTGAATCTTTTCTGGAGTTGAACCCACAGAGAGACTATTACGGGAATAATCGACTCAAACACCATCGACTGTCACTTCCTCAGGAAAGGACCAGCAATGTCATAAGATAAGGAGCATTGTTCATTCCTTTACCAGCCACCATTTAACATGGCCTGCTGAATCCCTGGTGTGACCCCCTCTGCAAGAAATTCTGGAAATTGTGCCCATCTTCTTATTCCGTCACAGAGCCCAGAAGCATAGCATCTCAAAAAGTATCCGTTCCACTCTTTAGAGGCTTGGAACGAAAGATAAGCATGCCCATTACTGGGCAAGATTGCAATTAAGTAGCATAGAAAGAAAATTGGATCTGGACTCAGGAAACTTCAATTCTTTTCTTAGTTCTGCCCAAAGCCAACTGTGGGACTTTGAGTCAAGTTATTTAATTAGTTTTGTCACCTGTAAAATGGAGCTAATAATATTGTGTCTCAGTAGGGTTGTTAGTATTATTTTAATTCTATAAATGTTCATTTTCATTATTACATAATCATGTATAATAACCATGGCTTCCAAACTTTTTTTCTTTTAAGCAGAGACTGAATCAAAAAATCTACTTCAGCGAGATGCTGCTTGCCAGGACAAGAGTCAAGAAATCTAAACACCCCGGGAATCGTGTATTTTCACCTTTGCACTTCGATATATTTTGCTTTGCACTTCTCAATATCCTTGCCGTGTTTTTACAAGTCCAGCAAACAGAGGGACAGATGGGCTTAGAGAAGGTGCCAGTTTTCTGAGACCTGATCTTTAATGTATTTTTAAGGATCGTGAAGCTATTGTTTAGCTCTGCTCTTTGGAGAACACAAGAAATTAGCCTTTGACCAAAACACCTCACAATGCACCGCTGAATCGTGCAGAGTCATCCGGGATTGCAAAAGTACAGTGACTTATATTTCAACCCCGCTTTCATTTTGCTAAGATGGCCCATGAGAAAACCCGACCACTTGAGGAGCGAGGCCTTCAGCGGAAGAAAGGAGAGCCGAGGTCATGTGCCATTTATTCCTCCATAGTGTCCCAGGGCCTTGCTCTGAGGAGTGTGGCATTTTTCTACACCATGTCAAGATTAATTAACTATAAAAATTTTTATTTTACCATGCATAATCCTTTACACATCTTTTACTATTACATATAATGATTTTCAAAAGTCTGCATTGCTTACATTTCAACTGAGTCATCAAGGAATGCTTCATTCATCTACTGATTTAATGAACCATAATGCAATGAATAAAAACACAACTTTTTGAGGATTTTCTGTGTGGTTGTTTTCAAAAATGAATATTTCTTAGCTTCGTTGTAGGTTTGTGTTAGGTATTAAAGCCTCACATAATTAGACTGTTTTCCTTCTGGTCATTGAATGGTTTTGGCACCAACAGCCAGGCATCACTAAATGGAGATGAGGAAAGAAGGCCATTTTTTTTTTTATTAAGGTTATAAAAGTTAACATCCTTGTGAAACTACAGTTGTACATTATTATTAGTCATGTTGTAGGTACACCACTTCACCCCTAGTGCCCTCCCCTCACCCTCTTTCCCCTGGCAACCACCGATCAGTTCTCTTTGTCTATATGTTAACTACCACCTGTGAGTGGAGTCATATAGAGTTCCTCTTTCTCTGTCTGGCTTATTTCACTCAACATAATACTCTCAAGGTCTATCCATGTTGTTGTGAATGGGACAACTTTGTCCTTTTTTATGGCTGAGTAGTATTCCATTGTATATATATACCACAACTTCTTTATCCAATCATCAGTTGCTGGGCACTTAGGTTGGTTCCATGACTTGGCTATTGCGAATAATGCTGCAATGAAGATAGGGGTGCATGGAGCTTCTGAAATTGCTGATTTCAGGATCTTAGGATATATACCCAGTAGTGGGATGGCTGGATCATAAGGTATTTCTATTCTTAACTTTTTGAGGAATCTCCATACTGTTTTCCATAGTGGCTGCACCAGTTTGCATTCCCACCAACAGTGTATGAGGGTTCCCTTTTCTCCACAGCCTCTCCAACATTTGTCACTCTTGGTTTTGGATATTTTTGCCATTCTAACAGGTGTAAGGTGATATCTTAGTGTAGTTTTGATTTGCATTTCCCTGATGATTAGTGATGATGAGCACCTTTTCATGTGTCTATTGGCCATCCGTATATCTTCTTTGGAGAAATGTTTGTTCATGTCCCCTGCCCATTTTGTAATTGGGTTATTTGATTTTTTATTGTTGAGTCCTGTGAGTTCTTTGTATATTATGGAGATTAACCCTTTGTCGGATAAATAACTTGGGAATATTTTTTCCCAACTAGTGGGCTGTTTTTTAGTTTCAATCCTGTTTTCCCTTGCCTTGAAGAAGCTCTTTAGCCTGATGAAGTCCCATTTGTTTATTCTTTCTATTGTTTCCCTCATGTGAGGGGTTATGGTGTCCGAAAAGATTCTTTTGAAGCTGATGTCAAAGAGTGTACTGCCGATATTCTCTTCTAGAAGACTTATTGTTTCAGGCCTAATCTTTAGGTCTTTGATCCATTTTGAGTTTATTTTAGTAAATGGTGAAAAAGAATGGTTGATTTTCATTCTTTTACATGTGGCTGTCCAGTTTTCCCAGCACCATTTGTTGAAGAGACTTTCTTTCCTCCATTGTAGGCCTTCAGCTCCTTTGTCAAAGATTAGCTGTCCATAGATGTGTGGTTTTATGTCTGGGCTTTCAATTCTGTTCCATTGATCTGTGCATCTGTTTTTGTACCAGTACCATGCTGTTTTGATTACTGTAGCTTTGTAGTATGTTTTGAAGTCAGGGATTGTGATGCCTCCAGCTTTGTTCTTCTTTCTCAGGATTGCTTTAGCAATTCGGGGTCTTTTGTTGCCCCATGTGAATTTTAGGATTCTCTGTTCGATTTCTGTAAAGAATGGCATTGGAATTCTGATTGGGATAGCATTGAATCTGTAGATTGCTTTAGGTAGTATGGACATTTTAACTATGTTTATTCTTCCAATCCATGTGCATGGAATGTCTTTCCATCTCTTTATGTCGTCGTCGATTTCTTTCAAGAAGGGCTTGTAGTTTTCGTTGTATAGATCTTTCACTTCCTTGGTTAAATTTATCCCAAGGTATTTTATTCTTTTTGTCGCGATCATGAATGGGATTGAGTTCTTGAGATCTTTTTCTGTTAGTTCATTGTTAGCATATAGAAATGCTACTGATTTATGTATGTTGATTTTATACCTTGCAACTTTGCTGTAGTTGTTGATTGTTTCTAATAGTTTTTCTATGGATTCTTTGGGGTTTTCTGTATATAAGATCATGTCGTCTGCAAACAGCAAGAGTTTTACTTCTTCATTGCCTATTTGAATTCCTTTTATTTCTTTTTCCTGCCGAATTGCTCTGGCCAACACGTCCAGTACTGTGTTGAATAAGACTGGTGAAAGTGGGCACCCTTGTCTTGTTCCTGTTCTGAGAGGGACGGGTTTCAGTTTTTGTCCGTTGAGTATGATGTTGGCTGTGGGTTTGTCATATATGGCCTTTATTATGTTGAGGTACTTTCCTTCTATGCCTATTTTATTGAGGGTTTTATCATAAATGGATGTTGGATCTTGTCGAATGCTTTCTCTGCATCTGTTGAGATGATCATGTGGTTTTTGTTTCTCATTTTGTTAATGTAGTGAATCACGTTGATTGACTTGTGGATGTTGAACCATCCCTGTGTCCCTGGTATAAATCCCACTTAATCACCCTGTATAATCTTTTTGATATATTGCTGTATTCAGTTTGCCAAAATTTTGTTGAGGATTTTTGCATCTATGTTCATCAGTGATATTGGCCTGTAGTTTTCCTTCTTTATGTTGTCCTTGTCAGGTTTGGGGATCAGGGTGATGTTGGCTTCATAGAATGTATTAGGGAGTGCTCCATCTTCCTCTATTTTCTGGAATAGTTTGAGAAGGATAGGTATTAAATCTTCTTTGAATGTTTGGTAGAATTCTCCAGAGAAGCCATCTGGTCCTGGACTCTTATTTTTGGGGAGGTTTTTGATTATTGTTTCTATTTCTTTACTTGTGATTGGTCTATTCAGAGTCTCTATTTCTTCCTGATTCAGTTTGGGGAGGTTGAATGAGTCTAGGAATTTATCCATTTCTTCTAGGTTGTTCAGTTTGTTGGCATATAGTTTTTCATAGTATTCTCTTATGATCCTTTGTATTTCTTTGGTATCTGTTGTGATTTCTCCTCTCTCGTTTCTAATTTTATTTATTTGAGACTTCTTTCTTTTTTTTTAAGTGAGTCTGGCTAAGGGTTTGTCAATTTTGTTAATTTTTTTGAAGAACCAACTCTTTGTTTCATTGATCCTTTCTACTGTCTTTTTTGTTTCAATATCATTTATTTCTGCTCTAATTCTTATTATTTCCCTCCTTCTACTGACTTTGGGCTTTGTTTGTTCTTCTTTTTCTAACTCCGTTAGGTGTCATTTGAGGTTGTTTATGTAAGATTTTTCTTGCTTATTGAGGTGAGCCTGTATTGCAATGAATTTTCCTCTTAGGACTGCCTTTGCTGCATCCCAAATAATTTGGTACGATGTGTTTTCATTTTCATTTGTCTCCCGATAATATTTGATTTCTTCTTTAATTTCTTCAATAATCCATTGTTTGTTCAGTAGCATGTTGTTTAGTCTCCACATTTTTGGCCCTTTCCCAGCTTTATTCTTGTAGTTGATTTCTAGTTTCATAGCATTGTGATCAGAAAAGATGCTTGATATTATTTCAACCCTCTTGAACTTATTGATGCTTGCTTTGTTTCCCAAGATATTGTCTATCCTTGAGAATGTTCCATGAGCACTTGAGAAGAATGTGTAACCTGCTGTTTTTGGATGAAGTGTCCTATATATATCTGTTAGGTCCATCTGATCTGATTTTTCATTTAATTCTATAATTTCCTTGTTGATTTTCTGTCTGGATGATCTGTCCATTGGTGTTAATGGGGTGTTGAGGTCCCCTACTATTATTGTATTACTGTTGATGTCTCAGGAAGGCCATTTTTAATACCCAAAATGAAATGACTTGAGGCCGGTCACACAAGAGGATCAGACTTCCTCCTGAGCTTTCTTTCCCTAAATACTTTTTAACAATTACTCAAAAAAATTACTCAAATTTCCATTGATGCCTATGCTGGGAGAATAGGAGCTTATAATTCTAAACACACAGCCTTCCAGAGAGCCCTGCTTTCTGCTGTTGGCTGTCCCCACCCCTTGCCTTACCCGTATTCGTGTGTTTGGCACCAGCAGTATTCCAGGTGAAGCTGCATGTCGGATGTTGCTGATAGCCGTGCTACAGCCCAAGGCATCGCTTGTTGATACCACCACTGTCCACTGGTCTGATACAAACTTCCAGCCAATTTCTCTGAGAAAGAAAAGGTTTCTGTAGGCATGTTTCTCCCTTACTGCATGCTTGGGTAGAGGCTTCTTATAGCACAACTGCCTGAGTTGCAAGGATGATAGGCAGTGGTAGCTGGAGACAGCTAGTACTGGCTCGTCAGTATCAATTGTTAAATTTTCAGGAAAACTATGAGTGGGTTGTAAAACACAGCCATTACTAAAAACCAACCCACATAAGTTTATAATTAAACAAATTATATTAAAATCTATATTAGTCAGAGTCTTCCAGGGAAACAGAACATATATCTATTATACATATGAGAGAGAGAAGGAGAGAGAGAGGTTATAAGGAGTTAGCTTATATGGTTGTGAAGCTTAAGAAGTCCCACATTCTGCTATCTGCCAACTGGAGACCCTGGAGAGCTGACGGTGTAATTCAGTCCAAGGGCAGGAGAAGATGAGATGAGATATCCCAGCTCAAGGAGGCAGGCAGGAAGAAAAAATGAGGTGAATTTCTCTTTCCTCTGCCTTTTGTTCTACTTAGGCCCTCACCAGATTGGATGATGCCCACCCACACCGAGGAGGGCAACATCCCTTACCATCCACTGATTCAAATGCTGATCTCATCCAGAAACACCCTCACAGACACAATCATAAATACTATTTAATCTGGGCACCATGTGGTGCAGTTAAGTAGACATATACAACTAACCGTCACAAAAGCAAAGGACAGACTCAAAACATATCACTTCCTATTATCCATTTTACTAACCTGTGCTCTTCTGGGTGTTTAGGTCTACCATAACTGTGAGGGACATCCTAGATAACTGTGATACTGTCACCTCTTCTTACTCTGTGTTCAGTGATGTCACATTGGTAGCTTGAAATGGACTGTGGTGGG